GGTGGTCCTAACCCTCCCATGGTGACTCATGAGCTGCACACTAGGACCACCTACCAGTCGCTGCCCAGAAAGGATTTTTTTTTTTTTTAAAGAGAATGGTGTGGGGGGCAGGAGCAGAGGGAGAGGGAAGAGAGAATGTAAAGCAGGCTCCATGCTCAGCACAGAGCGTGACATGGGGTTCGATCTCACAACCCTGAGATCATGACCTGAGCTGAAATCAAGAGTCAGATGCTTAACTGACTGAGCCACCCAAGCGCTCTCAGAGGATACTTTAAAAACAAAACAAGCTTGGTCTTCAATACCAGATAGTTAGAGATGCAATCCTCTCCTCACTTCTTTACCCAACCATTAACTTTTTAAGGAAATTGAGTCAGTTGTCCTTTAGATTTCTGGATTTCTCTATTTGTTTCCTGTGGTGTCAATTAACTTGATTCTCTATCACTTGACTTCCTTAATTGATTCTATTCAGCCACAACATTTTGGGCAAGAATATTTCATGGATTGCACTCTGCAATTCATATTATAAAACTTCACCAAATATATAGTATCTGAATGTACTATTTTTAGTAATGCCGTGATTAATCACTAGGGTTCAGGTGATGATAGTTCAATCCCTCCTTTGTAAATTCCCCATCAACCTTTCACCTAATAATTTCATCCACTGATTACTGTCACCTAATTCATTTCATTAGGCATTGAAAAGTAATGATTTTCTTTTTTTTTTTTTTAAAGATTTTATTTATTTATTTGATAGAGAGAGACACAGTGAGAGAGGGAACACAAGCAGTGGGAGTGAGAGAGGGAGAAGCAGGCTTCCTGCAGAGCACGGAGCCCGATGTGGGGCTCAATCCCAGGACCCTGGGATCATGACCTGAGCCGAAGGCAGACGCTTAACGACTGAGCCACCCAGGCGCCCCGAAAAGTAATGATTTTCTAATTCTACCACCCTTTCTACACTTATCAGATGGAATTCTGGGGGAAAACAGTTCCCTTATCAAATTAGTCTATTTAGTTACCAGGAAATACAGATAATACAGGAAAGGTAAGATAAATGCTTATTTCTTTCCTTTTGATTAACAATTTTCAAACCAAAAATATTCAATGAGTTAGGTTTGGAGATTCTTCTATTCCACTCTCTCCTGTGTTTGTTCATTCTCTATCTCTCTTTCTAACATTATGAACTGATGGGTTTTTAAGATATTTGTATTTCAGAGGTGGCTGAAATGGATGACTCAGTCAGTTAAGCGGCTGCCCTCAGCTCGGGTCCTGATCTCAGGGTCCTGAGATCAAGCCCCATGTCAGGTGCCCTGCTCAGCAGGAAGTCTGCTTCTCCCTCTCCCTCTGTCCCTCCCTGCCACTCCCCCCTCATGTGCACATGCACTCTCACTTGCTTTCTCTCAAGTAAGTAATTAAAATCTAAAAAAAAAAAAAAAAGTTTTCATTGCATGCATTCATTGTTGTTTGCCATCTTTTGCTCTTCTTCTTATCCTGGAGGACTCAGTATAATACACTAAAGACCAGCACAGTATATTTGGTGGTAAATAGATTTTCACAGAGTTTCTGAAAACTTAACTACAATTTCATTTATAGCATTATTTCTAAAATAAAAGATACTGAAAATTTCAAACAACCAGCTAAAAATCATAACCATAATACGGCTTTGCATGTGCCAGAAACTGTGCTAAACTCTTTGAATGTAAATCCTATTTAATCTACATAACTACCATGCTGTATGGTGGCTATTATTTTTATTCCTATTTTATAAGTAAAAAAAATGAAGTTTAGAGACCTTAAGTTACTTGTCCAAAATCCAGCTTGTAAATGGTAGAGTAAGGATTTATAGCCATGTCTAACTCTGAACTCCATGCTCTTAACGAATATCTTTAATATCTAACAGACCATTATGTTAAACAATGGCTCTTAACAAGAGTATACCACCTTCCTGAGGGGTATTTATAAACAAACCTGAAGGTATGAGTGACAAATGTGTACTCTTTAAAGGAGGCTCTCTATATAGGGATAAACAAGATTCTTTTTAAAAATAGCTTCCAGGAAAAAATATAATAAATAACTTTCAGGGGCAGAGGGAGGCATTACAAAGGTATAAAAGCAACCTTTTGGGGGTAATGGATATGATCACCCTCTTGACTATAGTGAGGGTTCATAGGTCTCACCTATGCATAGCTTGTTGTTTCCCAATTATACCTCAAAAACTATTTTTTTAATAAAATAAAAATAAATTTCTGGAGCCTATAAAGTAAAACAATAGTATAAGTACTCTCTCCAAACAGTCCAACAAAAAGAATGAGATAAAGACTGAAGGTTTGAAGGAAATAACCAAGTGACTGATTTGTAATTTCCTTCATAAAAGTGGTCCAGCACTGCAGAAATTAAGTGGCAAAAATACAAACCTACCAAAATTCACAAGAGAGGTATCTGCTTTGCCAAGTGCCCCCTTTACTAATTCAGATCAACAGTATGCACTGAAGCAGGGCTGGGTAAGAAACCACAGTTATACCACACAGATGCCCAATCCCAGAAATCATCAACTGGCCACCATATCCCACATTTTATTCATCACTAGCATGTTGGGTTTGGTCCTGACTGTTTCCGAAAAATGTTTTTTAAGTAGTTGCCAATATTTGAAAATGTAGAGATTTCTCCCCGCCCCCAATCTTTTGGGGGAAATATCTTTACTTTTCTTGAAAGGTCTGGTAACCCTTGGGTCCACGTTCCCAACCTGGCAAGAGGACAAGCACTCTGCTCAGCACAGGCCTTAGGACTCAGTGTCCATATTGTCTTGTACATGGCAGCTTGATCCATTTATGTTACCATGCCTGGACTCCAAGGCTTTTGAGTTTGTGGTCCTTGCCCTAAGGTTACAAAGATTTTCTCTAAACGGTGTTTTGTTTGTTTTGGTACTATCTATGGGCTCATCTCCACATTAAAAAACAAAAACAAAAACAAAAAAACCTGCCCTTAATTAGAGGTGCAATTCCAACTCCAAAGGGTAGGTAACTTTCCTAACTGAGCAGGCAGTAGCAACAAACAAGAAGCCAAACATAGCCATACCCATCCCCGAAGCAGAGGCCGGACAAGAATAAAAACAAATCCTGGAAACTAGTTCTTGGCACACTAGCTTCAACAAATTCAGTGAAGAAATTTCTAACAGATATTTCTATTATTATGAATCTCCCTCCTGGAGACCCTCCCCAGCAACCCCCAACAGGCATGCGCACGCGTACACACATACACACACACACACACAGTCCCATCTCCCTCCCTAACCTTTTCCTCCCCCATTCTACTAGGTCCCTGAAACAGTAACTAGAGTATCTATTATTCTACCTCCAGCTTAAGACAAAAGAAAATTTCTTTTTAAAAAAAATTTGTGGAAAGGAAAGGAAAAGTTTCTCAGGAATAACCATACAAATTATTACAGGTCAAAAGGGATCAGAAACCTACATTCATTCAGTGAATAAACAGCCAACATTTAAAAAAAAATCATTATATATCAGAAACATTGATATTAAAGTCGGGATGGGGACGCCTGGGTAGCTCAGCCAGTTAAGCAGGTGCCTTCAGCTCAGGTCATGATCCTAAGATCCTGGGATCAAGTCCCACATCGGGCTCCTTGCTCAGCAGGGAGCCTGCTTCTCCCTCTGCCTGCTGCTCCCCCTGCTTGTGCTCTCTCTCTCTCTGATTATAAATAAATAAATAAATAAAGTCGGGATGAAGGCAATAAAACATGAATAAAGAGGAATAAAAACTCAAACACAATAGCAAACAAAATTATAAAATACTCAGGAAAAAGATTAATAAAAGGTACTAATAATAAAATCATGTTATCCTGGAGCAGGAGATGCCTTAGGGGCTTATGAACTGTCCAATCACTAACTTAAAGAGTGGGGCTGGAGTCTCCCATGATACCCCCCCACTCCCGCCCCATGAAAGCTTAGCTGGCACATGACCCAAAGGGAAATCATGGCTTCTCTCTCCGGTGACACCATGGATCGGATCAAAACCCGCATTTCCCTGCCCTACTTCGGAATCATAGGAATCAGCTCAAAAGTATTCACATTTCTCAGAGTTCATATAGCAAATAGAGCCAATAAGCAGAAAACAGGGAATCACCACTTTTTTAGGCATCAGATTAAGATATCAAGTAGAGAAAATTTATCCTCTCAGAAAATTATCTCAAGGGACTCTTAAAGAGCTTTTGGCAGAGAATCCTTACTAAGTGTATGTATGGAAGTAGATGAGTCCATAGACCTTTTACATTATTATTACTGAATAGAACCAAAAGAAAGAATGCCTTGGAATGTGTTTATATTAGTAAGAAATTTCCAATTAATTCATTCTTCAATATTTCAGACTTTGTGATTGTTTGACTATGGTTTGGTTTCAGGATTATCTTTCCACTCTCTGGACAAAAGTACTTTCCTAAGAAAATTAATAGTGTAAATAAATGGTTTGAAGCACCACAGAAGCATCTGTTTACATTCAGATAATTAATATGCTAAGCATTCTTATCTATTAAATTAAAGCAGGTCACCTAAGGACTTTTCTAGATAATACTTCATTAGCCTAATTATAATGAGTATATATAGTTGAAACAATAAAATGGACATCTTTTTTAAAACATTCTTCAATTTAAGCCTTTTACTAAATCAAGCTAGCTTTCAAACATTAGTTTCAATTACTGAGGTTTTTTTTAAAAGATTTTTATTTATTTATTTAACAGAGATAGAGAGAGAGCACAAGTAGGCAGAGCAGCAGGCCGAGGGAGAGGGAGAAGCAGGCTCTCTGCTGAGCAGGGAGCCCGATGCAGGGCTCGATCCCAGGACCCTGGGATCATGACCTGAGCCGAAGGTAGCCGCTTAACCAACTGAGCCACCCAGGCACCCCTCAATTACTGAGGTTTTATACAGCCAAAAAAAAAACAAAAAAAAAACAAAAAAAACTTCATTAAAATAGAAAATAAAAGTTTCTGTTCTTACCTTCGAAGTTCTCCATTCCCAGCCATCACCTATCTGCCGTGAATGTTTAATGAATTCTGCACAAAAACGCTGGAATGTTTTTTCTCCAAAGAACTCATCTTCTTCCATACTAACTGATAACTGCAATATAAAAACTAAGTATAAGCATGAACTGTAGAATGAATGCTAAAAGGAATTCTGCTAAATCACTTACTTCTTTAAACAAACCAAAATTTGGGACATAGAATGGAAAATATCCTCACAGCCATTCCAAAAAAGTGCTATGTTTCCATCTTTCTCACTCATCCCCATTTCTTAATCAGAAAGAAAATGTGATCAACATGAAAACTTAAAACCTAGATTTATAACAAATACACATCTATGGTTCAAAAAGTTAAATCTGTCCATAAATTTAGTTTCAAGAGCTTAATTTCATCTCACTTCTTCTAAGCTAATGCTTCCAAACAATCTCCTCAGAGCTTCCTTCTCTACTTTCTACCTTACTTTGCTCTTACATAGATAGTGTGGCAGCGCTTAGTAGATCTGCACTGTTCTTCACACTTTATTAGAAAGTTCAACTCACTAACAAGTGATGTTCTAAAGCCCGAAAGTTTTGTTTTGTAAGGTTAGGATCATCTAAGCAATTTCCTACTTTATCGAATCTACAAATGTAACAAATCAAGGAATAGCCACATATTTCTTATATAAATCCGTCCAAACCATGAACCATTGTTTATAAAAAGAGAATTTTAGAGCTAAAAGGAAACTGGTAAATTATATAGTTTAAGACCCTTGGTGAGAAAAGTTTGACCAAGTGAATTCCTACATTCTCCTCATTGGTGATAAGCATCATCAGGAAAATTAGCACTTGTTGATTGTTTACTATGTCGAGCACTAAGCTAACACTTTACCTCCCCGTTTAATCCTCACACAACCCAAAGACTGCTGTTATCCCCATTCCCAAAATGAATAAAAGAAAGTAATCTGCTCAAGCAATGCAAATGAGAAAGGATTCAAACCCCAGTTTGGCTACCAGGCCAATGATCTGTCTATACTAGCTGATTCTCAGTACAGTGTTCTTTCTGATTATTCAAATTTAGTATGACCTATAGAAGAATTTGTTCATTCACCAAGAAACACATACTGAATATCTAAAGTAGGTACTGTGCATAGGTGAAGGTTAGACATACAAAATGAAAAATATATATATATATATATAGTCCTTGCCTTGTAAGAGCTCACATTGTAATGAAGGGAGATAAGCAATAAAAATCATTACAGTAGAAACTCTCTTAACCAACCTCCATTCAACCAACTTGCCAGGTTAACCGACATAATATCCATTCCCTCAGTAAACACTGATGTCTACAACATGCTGATCACGAGCTCCTCTGCTCCATCAGTTGAGTTTATATTCACAAATTTGTATATTATAAATACATGCTTTAATTAAATGCTACATAAACCAAACCAATAAAATACAAGTAAAAAAGAAAAACAACTGTTATTTCTATGATTTAATGCCTTGGAAAGACTTTATAAAGGTAAGTCTCCATAAGAAAAACAATTACTGAAGTAGGTATGGACAATGCAACTGAAAAGATTGGTGGGGAAAAAAAACCATACAAATCCAGGATTCCACGCTCAGATTGCTACACAAATAGCTTGAGTTCTTTCTTTTAAACCCAAACTGGAAATCTAGAGGATGCATTCTGGGTTCAGTACATTCGTGAAGTAACAATGAATTCCATTCAAGTACACATACTCAAAGAAAATCCCTTGGTCATACATGAGACAATTGACGAATGTATTTCTGTTCTAAGTTGAAATAAAATGCTTCATGTCTGCATGTATTTTTTTTTAACTCTAGCTTTAACCAACTTTTTCGATTAATTGTTCAACTCTCAATCCTGACAGCATTGGAAAACAGGACTTCTGTTTAAAGTATATACAAATGATTAAGTCCCTTACCAAGAGGGGATAGAGTAGGATGGTATGTGGGGTGGGCGTGAAGATGAATCTTTAAGGTATATAAGAGTTTTTGTAGTGCAGATTGTCAGTGGGTAAAGCACAAGGGTTAGGACAGTGGTCCAAGCAGGGAGGATGGTATGAACAAAGGCAAGTTAGGGTGTAGAGAACTCCAAGTCTGATCTCACAAACATAGTGCCTGAAGTGTAGGCAGATATAGTTTAGTCACATGCAAGTTAAACTTGTCTGCCCTCTATTGGAGCAGAATGCCTGAGGTACGGTTTCAAAGGCACAAGATTGAAGAGTAATAAACTTTTTGAAGGGAGACTTATGTGCCATGCAAGAGTTTGGACTGGAAGGTTGTTATGATTACCGTTAGCAATACTCAGCTCCCCAGGAACCAAGAGGGAGCTGCGCTGAGCACACATGCAAAGCTGAGGTTTTGCTGGGTTGATTCAGTGGAAGGATAAAGGTAGAAGAAATAAAATATGCTAGTGAGAATAGCTCAGAGTTCCAGATTAGGTAGGAAAGTAAAGATACCAAGAGAAGGTTGAAGGGGCTCGGAAAACATGGTAGTATCAAAGAATATTAGGTACCAAAAAGGGCTAAGAACAACCATAGTGAAAGGAGGGAAAAGGAAGACCAGAAGACATTGAGACTTTAGAATTCAGGAGGTCTCAGCAAGTATATAAAGTAACTTACAGATAAAGGTCACTGGAGCTCAGGACGTTTAGAAAAATATGAGGCTTATGTTTGCCATTTTCCACATGGATGCTGAAGTCACTTAGAATTATCTGGAGAGGTGGTGGGGGTGGAGAGCTCTTTAAAGAAGATGAAAGATCAAATGAGAGATTTGTAAATGACAAGGGACAAATGGTAGAAGATGGGAGAGCCCAGAGATGATAAGCGATACATGGTGTATAATGCTAAATCCATCAAGAATAATCACTAATAAACTAATACAAGTGATCCTGATGAGCCAAAACACAGCCTTGGATTCCTTCTCAAGATGGTGCTAAAAGCAGCCACTACGAGTGAAGAGGGATATGTGACACTACCAGTGAATATGTGAGGAAAAAAAAAAAACAAAAAACCTAGCTCGCTGTATCTGGTAGAGCTGAATTTCATAGGATATAAAATTCCTCAAAAGATCTTCGAAGGATCCCCAAAGGAGCAGGGATATTTACATGAGGCTAGAGAAGCAGTGACCTAAAATTTGCTCTGGGGAAGTGGGGGCTACCAGCAATCTTCATACCCTAAAATTTGTAGGGTGGAGGAAGGAGCAGCTTCCACTCAAAGAGTTTCAGTTTTTGTTTGTTGTTTTTTGTTTCAAAGCCAAATTTCCTTTAAAACTAGTTAGTGGAAGCACTGACCTGTGAAGATGTTAACACCATGTGAGATGTGTAAACTGATCCACACTATATCCACTCGCCACCCCCACCCTAGAGATTCACAATATACACTGTGATGGGGAAACTATTAACTCAGGGTTTCCTGACTCTTTTGACCATAAAATTCTTTTTCTGGGAACACTTAACTTATTTCACAGAATGTAGTAAAGACAATAATGGGTTAAGGATTTAGATAAGTCTGTTTACTAGGGATGTGTGCTCCTGAGATCACAATGGAAAATCTGAGAGGGTAGGAGAACAGGTTTGGGAAAAGAAAGCACCAAGTACAGGAATTCTAAGTATATAAGAGACAATAAAATGCAGGAGCTTCTACTGAGGCAGTCATCAAACGTTTCAGGTATGTGAAAGAGATCTCGGGTTACACACCGAATCCTGGTTAAGGTGCTTCAGTGCAGACACAAGTTGAGAAAGTGACATCTAAGAAGATACTAAAAGGAAGAAGAGAAGCTAACTTAGCAAAGCAGAGAGGCAAAGGAATAGAATGTACAAAATCTGAATATAAGGGGAGCTCCAGTAATCAAAGAACCCTTGCTTGACTGAAATACAGAGGTAGAGGAAGGGTACTGGAAGAACCACTGCTGATGAGAAAGGAGAGCCTGCTGGCCTGAGGGCTCAAAAGGGTTTTGAGAGTGGGAGTAAACGGATCAGATTTGCATTCTGGCTTCCAGTGGAGCCTACAGGTCCTACCTGACTAGATGAACACCTGTTAAAAGTCTCTTGCAATAATCCAGGAAAGACAAAATGATTCCAAACAGAGCCAAAGACTGGAAGTAGGGTAGAAGGGGGAGGGATTCAAAAGACATTTTGATAGTATACTCATTACAACTGGTGGATCCTGGTAGGTGAGGGATCTGTGAGAGGAAAGATTCCCTGCTCTTTGCCGTAGGTGGTGGTGCACTGAGCAAGAACAGGTTTGGGGAGTGAAAAGGACCTTATTAAATCATATTGTTTTGGAGTTTGAAATACCTTTGGAATACCCATGTGAAGAGAATCTAGCAGGCATTTTGAGATGGATCTGGAACTCAGAAAGAAAGAGAAATCTGGGCCGGAAATATTAATTCTAAATCAACATTATATAGATAACAGAACACATTTGATCACTCAGGGGGAGGATACAGAAGTAGATTAGGAAGACCAAAATGGAGCAGTCAGAAAATTAGTTTTTCCATCTATACAATGACCCTGACATATACTGAGAGATACTAAATCAAATGAAAATTGAATTTAATTCATAAAAAAATACTAATACATTTTGGCATATTTTATAAATTCCAAACGAACCCTTACTTAACAACAAAATTGAACTAAAGTAAAAACATTCCATTCCCGAGGCCCCCCGGTTACTTGAGGTTTACTGAACTATTCAAAATGTTATTCGAAACATAAAATTTCACTCAATAGCCATAGTTTATCTAATTAACAGCACTGTGCCACTAACAAGATGACAGCACATCAAAGCACTAATTAATATTTGGTTGAATACTTTTAAAATTATCTAAGCACTGGGCTTTGCTGAAGGATGTTACATATAATAATATAAACACGGCCTGATTACAAAATTAGGAACTATATTATATTAAAATGATATCCATCTCAATTTGAATCATCGTAATATGCCATAATGAAAATATCACTGAATAATTATTGTCTCTTTGCTCAAGTAAGAATATTTCAACTCATTAAAAATGAAAATATAATACAATCAACATTTTCATACATACTTTTCAATATATAATACAATATATA